AAAAAGTAATGCGTTACTTTAACTAGTTACTTGAAAAAAGTAATCTGATTACGTAACTCGCGTTACTTGTAATGCGTTACCCCCAACACTGCTGATAACACAGCACAATACAATGTTATTCTAAAAGGGACTGAACTGCCAAAATTCTGCTATTTATTCTGCACTGCTCACAATTTTTGCCATTTTTTTTCGTTGGCAAGTTTTTTAAAGAACGGGAATTCGTGTTTATGGCATCAAATCCCATTATTCACAAGTTCCATTCGCTTGCGTGTTGAATCCAGTACATTTCCATTGGTGATTTTCAGTAGTAACACTTGTGGAAATGCAAGTGTTGTCACTATATTGGAAAATACTTAATGATATGATATTAATGAAATATAGTCAAATGTAAGAAAATAACACGACGTTATAAAATGTAAAAAAGTTCTTTGGACTATAACTATGCACTGATGTTATTTGTGGAGAATAAAGGATTCTCTAGAAGCCCCTGCCCCCCAAAGCTCGCGCAATTTATGTAAGAACTTTAGCTGTTTGCTTTGTGTTGGGGAAAGTTACTTTTAAAAGTAATGCATTACAATATTGCGTTACTCCCTAAAAAAGTAACTAATTAAGTTACTTTGTTACTTTTATGGAAAGTAATGCGTTACATTACTTTCGCGTTACTTTTTAAATATGAGCAGGGCTTGATTGTTTTTAATATAAGAAGTTCTATTTATAGCAAATGTAAAAGCCCTTTCACACCAAAAAGTGTAATGAATAAACCTCAGGCTGAAGGAAAAGTAAATTCACGTCTGTACAGTAGAACGCAGGAGAAGAAACACTCTTCAGCAATAAAAAAACAATGAAGCACAATTGTTAGTTTATCTAAAGTCATTTTTGCTTATTAGTATGGTTGAACTGGATCATCAAAGGTCAGCAGCAAAGACATTAGTTAATAAAATGGGATTAGATACATTTGTGTTATTTAACATATTTAATTATTGCAGGTTTGCGTCATATTCTGAGTTTGCTGTTTTCATATTGCTGAAAATTTCACTGTTTTAATTCATTTTGATGAATACTAAATCTGTTTTTTGTGAGTGGGATGAATTAATGCACATTCACATTTAGTCTAGAACTACAGTAGCATCATGTTCACACAGCGCACACAATTCCTCTGCACTTCCGATTTCTCCCAATATGGGGACAGGAGACTTGTCAGTCAATAAATGGGAAAACAAAGTAACTGGCGTTACTTTACTAGTTACTTGAAAAAAAGTAATCTGATTACGTAACTCGCGTTACTTGTAATACTGTGTATTATCATATACAACTAACAGCTAAATAACACATTTAGGTATTATTATGTTTTGAAAAATATGTTTCCTAAAAAAAATAGATAATATAATGTTTATCTTAACGGTTACTTTTTTTTTTTTTTTTTACTTTTTTTTTTACTTTATTAGGATTAGCAACAAGTATACAAAAATATACAACCCTAGTAACAACAAAATCACAAAACAACAAAAAAAATAAAGAACAAAAAAAACAACAACAAACATACAGGGCCAGGGGTAATATAAATTACATTATATAAAGTAAAGGTGCCTCAAAAGGCAAAAGGTCACAGAGCATTCAGTCAACTGTACATTATAGGAAAGAACCAATATTATAAGATGTATCTTAACGGTTACGCAGAAGCTGCGCATAATTGACGCGCGTGAGTCCTAGCCGGCATGAGCCGGAAATGTTCTGACGAGCTACCAGCGGAGGAGGTTAGTAACTCCTAAAATGATAATAATAAATAAATATTAACCGCTCCAAACTTTAGCATATAACAAAAAACTTTGTTAGTTATGTGGTCATACTGTTATTCTGTTCATGTAATTCTGGATTGCGTTATATGGAACTTTTACGCTACAAGAGCCTCGATTGGCAGCATTAGCTAACATTTTACAGACTGCCTTTATGCAAAGTACAACAAAAATTACACATTAAAATGTGTGTAAACGTGTGTTTTTCTCCCTAAAATGTTATACTTACTAAAAAATAATAATAATAAAGTAAAGGTACTTCGGAGTTGTCAAGTTGAGGAATTTGTCAGAGGCGTTAGCATGACTTTACTGTGCCCGCGCCCCCTCATGATCAGACGGCGTCAGATGTTTTTGAACATGCAGTTGATCTCTGCGCTGAATTAGTCTGAGCATCTTTAGTCTGAGGGCTCGCTGTTGTTTTCAGGGGATGGAGGTGGACTGTACGCCAGAGGACCTGTCGAGGTGTTCGTATGAGGAGCGCTGTGTGGAGCTGGGGGAGGTGAAGGACATGCGGCTGGAGGCTGAGGCGGTGGTCAGTGATGTGCTCTTCGCGGTCACAGACATGCAGGTCTCTCACAGTCTCACCAGCGGACTGGATGTGGCCTACATAAACGTGGAGACCAGAGAGGGAAAGCGATACTGCTTAGAGCTCACTGAGGCAGGGTTAAGGGTGAGTGAGTGATGTAAAACATGTAAAGAAGGTTTTCATTGTAATACTGACAATTTGATGTTTTCCTGAGGGTGAGGATGGGGTCCACTTCAAAAGGGTCTGGCTGCAGCTGGCGCTTGCATTCTCAGGCTTGCACTCTCAGACACTTGCACTTCCGCTAGCGACGTCACTTGCAGTCTTTATTATTTTTTATTTTGTTCTATTTAGTGATTACTTTTTGTTTGAATCTCTCAACATTTTACAACAGTAGCCAGGTGGTGAAGACAAGAAAAAAGAAACTAAATTACGAAGTCACTTGCAATCGCCAC